CGAGCTGGTTTAAAATCCAGCTCGCCGGGAGGAACCCTCCCGACGAGCTGGCATGTGGATGCTCGTCGGGAGGGGTTCCTCCCGACGGTGTGGCCTTGCCCCTCTAGGCTGAGGGGGGCAGGGTTTTTTTTCTTTACATTTTTTGCAAAAAAATCCCCCTCGACCACGTTTGCCCACCAGTAAAGGGCGGGTATCCGCAGATATCCGCGCGGATACCCGCCAGCGCCAGCGGATACCCGCTAGCGGATGCGGATGCGGATGCGGATGCGGATGCCTGTTTCCGCTGAAATTGTCAGCGGATATCCGCATCCGTGCGGATATCCGGATTTCAATTGACCATCTCTAGTCAGCGCGAGGAGAAAGAGAACAGTTAGGATGGTCCTGAGTATGTGATTCACACCGGAGTTGTGACAGCCCCCCTTGCTCAGGATTATTCGGATAATTCGTGGATAGAAATGTTGTTGAATATTTTTTGGCAGCAATCGATAACAATTTTTCCAGCATTTTTGGTGAGCATATCGGCAGGCATGGATTTGGTGTCGATTTGTTTAGTTTGTATTTTCTTGTTTTTGACGAGTTCTCGGATGAAATGGTACCTGATGTCGATGTGTTTAGAGCGTTGGTTTATCGCGGATTCTTGAGATAGAAAAACAGCCCCATTGTTGTTGTTGAAGATATCCATTTGGGTAATAACGTCAGTCGGTTGTACTTGTTCTTGCATTATGTACGCGATCATGCGTCTCGTCCACAGTATGTGTTTGGCGGCATCGGAAATAGCCATATACTCGGCCTCGGTGGTGGATAGCGCAACCGTGTGTTGTCTTTTGCTCCTCCAGGAAACGAGACAACCACGCCACATAATTCCGTGTCCGGTGGTGGATCGACGAGTGATAGCGCAAGAGTCGTAGTCAGCATCGGTGTACGCAGTGAGAGTTGAAGCCGGGGAATCAATGGTCTTTCGAAAAATTATACCATGGTCCAATGTTCCTTTGACGTAGCGGAGGAGATGTTTGACCGCAGTCCAATGGGTTTGATCGTAGCACGCTGAGAACCTAGCGAGATAGTTAACCGCGTATTGAATGTCGGGTCGGGTGCATATGGCCGCGTATGATAAGCATCCGATTGCTTGTTGGAATGGAAGGGAAGTGTCCTTTGTACTGGCTTTTTCAAGGGCAATATTATTGGGGAGTGGAGTGGAGTTAGGGTTGGAATTCTCCATGTCGAAGCGTTTCAAGACATCTTTGAGATAGTGTTCTTGGGATATCATGGTGGTGTGGTTTGGTCGGTCGCGAGTGATTTTTATGCCGAGATGGAGAGAGGGGTTTTCATTCCATTTCAATGTGTAGCATTTCATGAAACTTTCTTTGAAATCAGCGATCATAGACTTTGAGTTTGAGAACACTAAACCGTCGTCCACGTGCATGTGAATGAATATGAAATTGGGTCCATCTCGGTGGACGTAGAGAGAATCGTCGTCGAAGTTGTTGACAAACTTAAGTTTTCCAAGTTTCTCTTTCAAGTCCGTGTTGAATTGTCTGTGGGCCTGTCGTGTACCGTATAATGATTGGTCAAGACGGATTACTCGATTTGGATAAGAAGGATCTTCAAACCCAGTTACCTGTTGTATGTACACTGAATGTTCCATACGTCCATTCAAGAACGCCGTTGCAATATCGAATTGCTTCATCTCAAGATCTTCGTTCGCGGCGAGGGCAAATAACAAGCGGAGAGTGTCTGAAATACCGACGGAAGCATAAGTTTGATCAAAATCAATCCCGGGGATTTGGTGGTTGCCGAAAGCCACCCATCTGGCTTTGTATTTAATGACTTCGCCGAATTGGTCTCGTTTTATTTTTAATCACCACATACCTCCTATTTGGTGAGCAAGAGGCGGGAGTTCAACGAGTTGTCCGAGGTTGTGCTGCACAAGTGAGTTGAATTCATCTTGCATGGCAGCAATCCAGTGTTCTCGATCGGCTGAGGCCATGGCCTGTCGGTAAGTTGGTTCGTCCGGGTTTGTTTGAGACATGTGTGCGACAGGATTGCCGTAGTATTGTGGTCTACCGCAGTTTCTAGATGGTCGAGATATAGTGGTAGATGGAGAGGAAGTATTGGTTTGTTGGGGAAATGGGTGATGGTGCGAGTTGTGATTGAGCGAAGATGACAAGTTGTTTTCTGTGTCGGTCCTTTGTTTGTTGTTTTGAGTATGAATGGGCTTCTGCACAGCATCAGCTTGATTGAGTAAGCCTTTGCTCACAGCAAAGTCGAATGAGTCATACGAGCTTTCACAGGATTCTTTTGTGAAAGGGAATAATTTTTCATCAAAGGTAACATTTCGAGAGACAATGACTTTCTTGGATGAGGGGTCTAGTAGTTGGTAGCCCTTAGAAATGTGATCGTACCCAATTAGGATGAAATCATTGGCTTTAGGAGAGATTTTATCAGTATGTTCTTTCTTTATTTGAGTATAAGCTCTACATCCTATTGTTCGAAGAAATGAATAGTCAAATGTGTGATGTGATCCAGTTGGATCACTGTATGAAGACCATAATCAGTGGGGAGTATCAGATTTGATAGATGCAGATGGAGCTATGTTGATAAGTAGAGAGGATGCCATAGCAATTTCCCCCCATAGCCACTTGGGTAGTTTACCGGCGCTCATAATAGCTATGATCTTTTGTAGCAATGTCTTGTTGAATCGCTCCGCAACACCATTTTGCTGACCAGGACTGACCGTCCTGCCAAACCAATGTGCTGCTGTCTCAAAGAGGCTTGCCAGGGTGCCTCAGGAAGGATGCGGTTGGGATGACCAATGCCGAGTCGTCGGGTCACCCACTTTTATGACACTTCAAAACCGTCTCACTGTTAGGCGCCAATTATAAACACACTTTTCAAAATATTTTTGTAATTTTTTCAAAACATTTTGGTCTTCCTTTTACTTGCCTTTTTACAAAAAAAAAAAAACATGTCCAAAGGAGCCCATGGACCTCCTTTGGACATCATGAATTTCATGAAAAAAAAAAAAAAAATCGGACCTGATTACAGTCCAGATGCAGGTGTATTTGATACTGCAATAGAATTCAATGGTCTGTACCATTCAGCTGGAGTTCAGCTTGGAATACTGGATGGGTTTGGTGTTTTTCATGTTCCAGCTGGAACCCTCAGGGTCTGGTCCTTGTTCCGCTCACCCCGGTCCTGTTCCCCCCACCTGTGATTTCTGACTGCCTTTTGCCCATCATGAACATGCACAACCTCAGCGGCAAATGCAACAACAATCCTGCCAATTACCAATACCACCAACATCAACATCCACCACCAATTTGAAGTGGAAGGGGGTTGAGTGGTGGGGGGATCATGGCTGAACTTGAGGTCAGAAAAGATCCAAATCGTTGTCCCAATTGCCCCGGGGAATGTTGAGGTTATATATTTTGATCAGATTGGGTGCACAGGTTTATAAATGCCACCTGTTTTGGGAACATTTTAGAAGCGTTTTGCCGTGGATTTTGGCGTTTCCAGGAACGCCAAAATCAATCACAAAACTTTTCAAAAACGTTTCCAAAAGAAAACCAAAACAACCTTTATAATTGGCGCCTTAATCTTTTCAGGTGAGAGGTGGAGAAAATTTGGTATGATTTTTTTTTTCAAAAAATTGACTTAGAGAAAAAAAAGCATCTTGCATATGGAGTTCGCGCAATGAAACGTCCATCTCGGTCATGTAATTCAAGCAAGCCTGGCCAAGTGGTCAAGATCCTCAGTAGGATGTGATCATGTTGGGTTCCATTGCGATCAAGCCCACTGTTCAGCAATACTTTTTTTGGCTTCATGATCTGGGCAGGATTCCCACAGCAGCCTGCAGGCCAGAAAGCCCAAATTTTGGCTTCTCACGTCGGAACCTGCAGCTGTCAATACAGGGTCCAAATCTCCCGGACCAATGACAGCAATGCAGTCAAACTGACGGCAGAGAACGGGCGGGCTGACTCAAAAGCTTGTGAATCCATAATCTCAGGACCGCTCATGGCCCTGAGATAATTATTGGATGTCGGCGGCTTATCGTTGGGCCACCCCCATCCCGCCCGGTGGACATGGGTTAACACCCCAACCACGCCAACCCCCTGGCTTCAAAGCTGCCAATTTGACGTCGGCAGACAGGAAGGTTTGGCTGGGTTGGCGGAGGTTGGTTCATCCGTCAAAAAACCGGGCGGGTTGGCATTGAGATGCACCCATGGTGTAGCCCTATCCATTGAGTAGCTAATTCACAAGACCAGATTGGACGGCTGGAGCTAATAGCATCTGACCTATGTAACCTGTATTCTCACAGTGAATGACTGGGCACGCGCGTGCACGCAAGCCCAGCCACTAACTGAGAGAGCCGCCAAATGCTCAGAATCCTGCTTGTCTGAGCCCCTCATTGATCCCGCGGGACTTTTACATGTCTTCAAAAATTTACAAGTCCGATGGTCAGTCCACACCGCGCCAACACTCCAAATCAAGGCCCATACTCCAAACCTGATTTGTCGCAAATCCAGACAGAAACGACTAAGTCATCACACAACACAACAACACAAGGTATGTACAGTGGGTGGACCGTTATTTTTGGATTCTACAGCTTCAAAGCACAAACTTTGAGTCACAAGACTTGGTGAAGTGGTGCAGAATAGGTCCCAGAAAATGAATATGAAAAAATAAAAACAAAAAAGAAAGTTTTAAATTTTGCAAAAAATAAAAAATATAAATGTTTTTTTCCAAAAGCTTTGTTATTCATTTTGGGGGAGTGGGAGTGCTGAGAGAAACAAAGAGTGGAACATGGCAAGAATGATTAGAAATGAAAAAAATTAGAACCAAAAGAAGGTTGAGCCAGGTTGGTTGTCCAGATTGGAGTCAAAACAGTAAATTCTAGTGCTTCACTGCAATGTGAGCTGGTGAATGCCCCACTCAACAACTGGTTAAAACTAGGGGGTTGGAAAAACGACTCCCAAAAATTGTCCGACGACTCCTGGGAGTCGGCCATCCAATTTCTTTTTTAATTTTTTTTTTGATTTTTAGGGAGTCGGCGCCCCAAACCACCCCTCATGCTTGAGGGGGTTTGGGAGTCGCTTGCTCCCATGACTGGAAGGATTTCCTTCCGGTCAACGAGAAACAAAAATCTCATTGACCAGAAGTGATTCCTTCCGGTTAGAGATGGTCTCTTTGCATCCAGATATCCGCTCAGATCCGGATGCAAAGTGACCATCTCTACTTCCGGTCAATGAGATTTTTACATCTCATTGACCGGAAGGAATCCCTTCCAATCAATGAGGTATAACAATCTCATTGACCGGAAGGGATTCCTTCCGGTCAATGAGATGTAACAACCTCATCAATCGGAAGGAATCCCTTCCGATTGATGAGGTTGTTATACCTCATTGATCGGAAGGGATTCCTTCCAATTGATGAGATTTAACAATCTCATCGACCGGAAGGGATTCCTTCCGGTCAATGAGATGTAACAATCTCATTGACCGGAAGGGATTCCTTCCGATCAGAGTGAGATGTAGCA